TTAGACTGCTTTCGGATGAAACTTTTCATGCTGTCTTATGGGTCCTGTTTGGAGCGCTACTTTTAGGAGTTTTTTAGAAAAATATACTGTAGTAATTTGATATATGTTAATTTAAAAGGCAATTAGAAATGTTTTACAGAAAACATAAAAATTATTGTGCAAAAAAAAAATCATAGTCTTTTTTAAAATGACCAAACGTTATAACAAGTCTAAATAATTTGAGGGGGGAAAAACTTTTTGATCATGAGTCTGTAAATTAAAATTTAAGCAATTACATTTTGGAAATGATCTCATTCAATTTTAGGAAGTAATTCTTCTGTCCTAATTCACTCCAAAACATTTAATCCATGCAATATATGCAATTTAATTAGCTCCAAATCAAACCATGCTCAAAACTGTTAGAATTGCGACATATGCGATCCATATGACTTATTCTAAGTTGATTGATAGTTTGATTGATTAATTGACATTTAGCTAGTAAGTATCTCCTATTAATGACGTCTTCAATAAATTATATTAGAATACATCATACGATATTATTCTCAATCATGATTCATAGTATGATTTCCTTATGAAAGAAAACTTGCTATTTATTTACAAGTTACGATCCCTAACTGACCTATACATAACTTGTAATGCTCTATCCATCCTAGCGTTTACACAAAAAACAATTAGCGGGAGGCAAGTAATTCTATTACTATACTGCTACTTATTACATGTACTAGGGAGAAATAGCCCGCGCGACGGGCGGGAATTAGGTGCTTGTGATTCCAGATAATTAATAATTATTGTTTAATATTTTGTAGTATAAGAACTAAAGTATGATGATTTTATCATGTGATTTTAATAGAAAAATCATAAGTTACATAGTGAGTTAATACAAATAATGTGCAATAAGACATCCTTATTGTTATACTATATAAGAATCCGTTGTGATCAAAGGTTATATTTGAATTTCAACCGTAAAGATAAGAGTAGTTTGAAAATATAAGAATGTTTGAAGTGCAATTGAAAAGTATTCAAAGATCTCTTCTAAAACTTATCCAAGATGATAAAACATTTTAAAGTATCAATTGGACCCTTCATCTCTCGAATCTATATATGTTCGTGAAAGATCTCTCAGGCAATGCTTCTGATTTCTCTCTTGACTTAAGCTCAACCTGAATTATCAAGTCAAGTTTATCCATCAATCACTTTGCGTCCAATCTAATCTAAAATAATTTTATTTTTTACTAACTATTTATATAATTTAGTGGGTATAATACGACTTAATCACATGTTTCTTACAGAGATAATAATGCCCAAAAATGATAGATAGATAAGAAACTTAAGTGGTCTTTTTCAAAGTTTTGTAAAAACTATTCAGATTTGATGTTTTTTACTAGGGGCATTTCTTTATAATCTCATAAATAAGTTCAAATCTGCATAATTGTTAAAAATTTGAATTGAAACTATCTTGATTATAAAAAATTGGTGCAAATAATATTTTCTAAATTTGAAATTGTAGAAAATGGCAAGTAAAATCAGAAGAAATTCCTCATATGAATTCGAATTGCAAACTATAGGTAGAAACTGCTTAATAATATTTTTCAATGTTTACTTGTTTAAGTATCCAATATAACATCTTTACTTAATTGACTCGTTTGAATTATGAATAATGGTTGTTTCAATCAAATCAAGAAACATTATTTATCATTGTACAACATACAATTATGAGTAAATGAATTAATACAATGCAATCAAAATGGCGTTGTAGGTAAAGTATTTAAACTCATCAAGTTCCACTACAAATTCTTTTACATAGCACAAAAGTAAAATTTTTGTATTTCAAACTATATAAACAGTATAATACAAGAACGAGATCATAACATGGAAAGCAAATAGAGTGCAAATGACATCTTAGTATTATGTAGCATGATTAATTTTCTTTTTTAGTTTCAATGAAATACAAAATTCTAAGTTAATAAATTTTACAATCATAAAATTCCCAATTAAAATAAACACAAGCTGAATTCCAAATCATATTACATGAAAAAATAACTACTTGAACCATAATTGCTGGAATGTAGTCAACAAATTCCTGGAGTCAAGAATAATATGAGAAAGTTCATGAGAAATAAGGTTATTTGTCTTAAATAAAGAAATAATACCTTGGCTGAGGAGGAGAAGATGATAAAATTGCTTTTTTGATTATTTTAGAAAGTGACAACATTATCTCAAATTGTATTTTGACCAAAGACAGAATCTCTGGAATCTACTGAGAAAAACAATACAATTAGTCAGTTTTTTAAATTAGAAGTATCAAAAGGCAAACTATATGGAGTTATTGAATAAACCAATCATCAGGGAAAAAAAACTACAATCTAAGAAGACAAACCTAAAGAACTCACCTCAATTTAAAGGAAAATTTATGCATTCCACCAAATATTTAATAGTCATAATAAAATCAAAGAGGTGAAACCGAAAAAGAAGAAAGGGTATCGGCTAAACATGGGGACTGGGAACACCTAGAGTAGCTTATCCCACATCGGGTCGGGAGGTTGGGTTAGTTGGGTAGATAAGTCCTTGGGGTTGTGCCAAGAGTTGCCGGCTTTTGGTATTAATTCTGGGATTAGGTTTATTTCATTCGGCAAAAGTCAATTACTTTGAGTCGAAAAAAGACAAACTGCTCGTTAGGATTAGCATGGTTAGTTCATGTGCCGGGGTTCTTAGCTTAGGTTGGGAACACCTAGAGTAGCTTATCCCACATCGGGTCGGGGGGTTGGGTTAGTTGGGTAGATAAGTCCCTGGGGTTGTGCCAAGAGTTGCCGGCTTTTGGTATTAACTCTGGGATTAGGTTTATTTCATTCCGCAAAAATCAATTACTTTGAGTCGAAAAAAAAAACATGGGGACATAAATATGATAATGATTGTTCAGATAATAATTAAGTTAATTAATTGTAATTAAAATCCAATTATATAAACATCCAATTAATTCCTTAACGGATGAGAAATATTTCAGGAAATTGGAGAGCTTGGATGTTAGTATAATAAATGATTAAAAGGACTTTTATGTAATTCTATCAAAATACAAGCTTTATTCAGTTGTACTTGATACTCAATTTGACACCAAATATTGTAACATACCAAACCTACCCCTAACCTTAAATGTCTGAAAGGTTATATAAGTAATTATAGTGAAATTAAAGTTATAATGACTTGTACTCAATGTTCCAATTACTCTTCAAACACTCTCACATTTCCAAAATAGCCTCACCCCTGCGGTTGAAATCTAGTCTTAAACTCGTTCTTATATAGTATAAGGATATGTATATTTTTTATCATTCTACACGAATTTAAGAATCTTTTAGACTAAGTGGCATTAGATGCACATTACATATAATAGAATAGCAGTTAGTGTGATTCATGCATCTAATCTAATAGTGTACAAAATTTGTTACACTAAGGATATAAAAATGATTAATCTTTAAAAAAAAAAGAAATAAAACGTGAATACTATATGGCTTGAGTCCAAGTCCGTAAGTACTCGTCGATATGTATAATTCAAAAAATTGTTGTATTTATGCATTTTAAGGGTAAATTATCTTTTATCCCCATGTGATTTGGTGCTTTATTACACACCCACCTTATGATTTAAAATTCTATAGATAAACCCCTCACGATTTGGGCTAAAGTGTTACCATTAGTTTTAAACCACTAATTTTTTCGTTAAAACTAATGATTAATAGTAAAAAGTCAAAATTAAATTAATAAATTAACAAATTTACCTTTTCATTATTTATTTTTTCCTCCAAACATAAAAAAGAAGAAATTGAAATAAAAATAGATAAACAAGAACTAGAAAATACCATTAAATATTTGGTTTAAAAAACTATAATGACATTTATAGTCAAAAAACATTTTGTATTTTTTGTTTCTTATTTCCCTTCCATCTTTTTTGTTTCTTGATTATTTTTTTTAATTTCCCTTCCATCTCTTTTGTATTTGGAGAAAATTAGATTTTATAAGCCAAAATATAGGTTTTCAATATAATCTCTTCTCCTCCCTAGAGAGAGAGAGAGAGAGAGAGAGAGAGAGAGAGAGAGAGAAGGAAGAAAAAAGAAAACAAGTAGTGAAAAAGGTGAATTTGTCAATTTATTAGTTTAACTTTGACTTTTACTATTGACCGTTAATTTTAATGAAAAAATTAGCGATAGCACTTTAATCCAAATCATGAGAGAGTTATATATAAGTTTTTAAACTACAGGGAATTATGTGGTAAAGTACCAAATTATGCAGGGGAATAAAAGGTAATTTACCCTACATTTGAATAATACTTTAAAAAAAATATTTATATTCTTCATACAACCTTATAAAATACATAATCAAATTTTGGCACAGTATACTTCTCAAATTATACTTTAAGTTTGGAAAAAAATGTTAAAATTTGTGTAATAATAATGACATCTCTCCCCAATTATATATAAAGCAGTAGCTATGTATATCATAACTTTATGGATTTATGCATGTAAACATAATAAGGTGATAAAATCTTTGTTTGGATTGCATTTTTTTTGGATTTTTTGTTACAAAAATTGCTGTGGCGATTTGATATATATAAAATAAAAAAGTGATTGAAAAATGTGTCCATGAAAAACATAGCAATTTTTCTTTGAAAATCTGCAATCCAAACACAACCTTAATAAATTTAATATTTGATACACAAGAACAACAATTAGAAGCGGTTTAATCTTTAAAAATTGTAGTAATTTTATCTATATTTTGAGTTTTGTAACTTTTAAATATATTCGTACCATTCAAATATAAATTTATATGAGTAATTTTGTTGAAGTCATATTTTTATGCCAAACTTTTGATTGTATTTTCAAAAGAAAATCCAACTATGTTTTACCCACTGCATGTTTTGAATTTTATTCGTGTTTCACAGCCAAAATGCAAGAACCATATAGCAGTATTTGTCCGACAAGATACGGAAAACATGCCCACGATGTTTCCTTTTCAAAGGAAGCCCAAAGCGGACCCCAAAGAGGAAAATCTTCAGTCAACTAACGATGCTTTCCTGCTAAAAAACCATCTCACCTGTCTTCACCAAGAAGATAACCAGAGAAAATTAAACATCCAAATGTTAGACAGAACCCTTGAAGAATGAGCTGCATCATCATCAAGCCTCATTTCTTCCAAAATTTCCTCTTCTTCGGCTCTTTAGCCCTGTTTGTTACAAACTTTGCCGTAGCTTTTGACGTCCTAACTTCAACAGAGCCCCTGACCAAAGACCAAACGTTAGTTTCATCCGGTGAAAATTTTGAATTAGGCTTCTTCAGACCTGGAGATTCAAACAAATGGTATGTTGGAATATGGTACAAGAAGATACTAACGAGCAAGACCATTGTTTGGGTAGCAAACAGAGACAATCCTCTGACAAACTCATCTGGGCTGTTGAAGATTGGTGATGATGGCAACATCCAAATTCTTGATCAAGCTGCAAATACAATATGGTCCTCAAATCTATCCAGGGTAGGCAACACTGTAGCACAGCTGCTAGACTCTGGAAATTTCATACTACGTTACACAGACGACGCTGATCCTGAAAATTATCTCTGGCAAAGCTTTGATCACCCCACTGATACATTGTTACCTGGGATGAAGCTCGGGTGGGACGCGAAAACTGGCCTAAACAGATACTTGACATCATGGAAAAATGCCGATAATCCATCTTCAGGTGACTACAGTTTTGTGCTTGATATTCATGGGTTCCCCGAATGTTTCTTGATGAATAAAGGCAACAAATCGTACCGCAGCGGACCCTGGAATGGCCTCAGATTTAGCGGTGTCCCAGAAATGAAGGCCAGTAGTCCTGTCATGACCTTTTTATTTGTGAACACTAAAGACGAGGTATATTACTCATTCGAGTTGCATAATGCATCATTGTATTCAAGATTGGTTGTGTCTTATAGTGGAAGTCTTCAGAGATTTACTTGGATAGATGATAGCAAAATATGGAACCTTTTTTGGTACGCCAGAAAAGATCAGTGCGACGCCTACAAAGAATGTGGAAATTATGGTGTATGTGACACAAATGCTTCGCCAGTTTGCAATTGTATGCAGGGATTTGAGCCCAGAAATCCACAGGCTTGGAATCTGAGAGATGGATCCGATGGATGTGTCAGGAAGCATAAATTGGATTGTGGGAATGACGGGTTTTTGTCACTGCATAACATGAAATTGCCGGAGAGTTCTAGCACGCTTGTGGTCTCCGGCATGAGTTTAGCCGACTGTGAAACGATGTGCCGGAAAAATTGTTCTTGTACGGCTTACGCTAATTCGAATCTTACAGCTGGTGGTTCTGGATGTGCTATTTGGGCCACGGACCTTCTTGATATGAGGCTGTATGCGGCGGATGAAGGTGGCCAAGATCTGTATGTTCGGGTGGCAGCTTCAGATTTAGGTACGTTTCTTTCAATATAATTAGCTGCAAATTTTGATGCGTTCGGTTCAATTTTTGCCAGAAAGTTGGACTAATTTGTCTTCGGCCATAAATGCATTGCCTATCAAATTATAATTGCATTAGCCGTCCATTATGTTTCATAAGTATTAGTACTTATATTTTAGAAAGGATGGTGGGGGGTGGTAACTGCTAAGGAAAGAAGAAGGAAGAGAGGAGAAAAGAATGGAAACAGACCCCAGAAAAAAATAAAGTACTATATTGTTTTAACTCCTAAGATGAAAGGAAATACGCTTTAGATTCTAATTTCACTACTATAGTGCTAATATAGAGTTTAAAAAGTTTTTGGGGTGGTTAACGGCGAGATATTAGGGGTCTGATAATGAAAATGAAAGTTTCAAGTGTATTTGCCAAAAATGAAAAAAGTTCGACGGGTATTTATGCAAAACTTGGGAATTTTTTTTTTTTAAAAAAAAAAAAAACCAATTTCACCTATTTTTGACTAATGTTAAGTTAAAATTTTTGTTCATAATTATTTATGTGTATTGGCAGTGGGGTTCTCGCCAAGTGTTTTTAATTTTTAATGTGAGAACAAAACGTTTGGTGCAACGCTTTGAAAAATTGATGAAGTTGGTAAGTGGATAATTGAATAATACCTATCGGCTATCGCATATTTTTTTTTCTGAGAAAACAGCGACCAAAGAATGATGATCGTTTATTAGTAGTGTTTCCAGCTATACTTCTTCTGACATGGCCGCCATCTTTATCTTTTATTGAGAAGTACTGTAGTATTTAGCAGATAGGGGAATCGTATCAAATATACTACTATATCAATCATGGCCGGGCGGTCGCCATCCAAAATTCTACATCAAGCACCCGATTGCAAGTAGTTTTAGGCTTTTGGCATTAATCCTTTTTATAAAGGCCCCTCCTTTACTGTTCAGAATTTTTTCAGATTTGGGATTTGCTTTCTTGCACTGAATAGCTAGGTAGAAATTCTGAATAAACTATGATCATAGCTAGCTAGGTGGATATTGTGGAGGATTTGTTTTGAGTTTAGTATACCATTATTTTGCTGCCTTAAAATTAGTCGAAGAAAATGGTGAAATCGCATGAACAAAACAGAAGCCAATATTATTAATAAACTAATTAGAAATCGTTCGGCACGATTTGCTTGACAAAGAAAATTGAACTAATGTAAAAAAATGCATGCCAATTCTTACCCATTAATTATTTTTGAAGCAGTTTAGTCAGCCCATCGGAGTAGCCTTGACTTCACCTAACCCAAAATTAATTCTTGAGTTTCCGTATCTAATAAACCACTACTACTAAACAACAAAATAGACTTTTATGAAGTGGCGCTCTTATTTTCAAATCCACTCTCAAAAATCTTAATTCGAAATGATAATACATAATTATGTCCATCACATATTGCCAAACACAAGGGTTTCTCTCTCCAAGTAATACCTTTCTCTCTTTTCTTTTACAATGCAAAAATTCTTTTTGTTTTCCTTTGCCATAAGAATGTTCAAGAATTGATAACTGACAATATTGGAATCTAGTCAAAGTCAGGATCAATATAAAGGGTCTATTAGTGCATAATTAGTATTGAACATTATGCAAATCAATCACTATGATTAGAGCTAAGCCAATAATATTAATATTAGGGTCATAAATCATGCAATGTGTAGTTTCTTGGGTCCACGAGGAATCCTTGAATAGCTGCGTGACGTTCTAGAGGCGGGCTCAAGCTGAATTTTCGATTTTGGAGATATCCCACCAAGAATTTTCAAATAAACCGGGCCCTCTTAGTAATAAGTCTATATTTAACGCTCACCTGAATGCGACGGGACCTAATTCCAATTCATATGTTTCTTCTGCTAAAACCCCATAGAAATAGAAAAGGGTCTGAAAATTACCCAATCTTCAACCGCCATTGGCCGACGTTGTTGACCTGGTGGCAAGGGTTGGTAAGTTAAGTAGCGGTACTTAACTAACAAGACTGTCCGAGCATGACTTGCAATCCATATTATTGTGTTTGGATGGTAGATTATTTAGGACAATTTCCTTTTTAAAACTACTTCAGTACTTTTTTATGTGACATATGTGAAAAAAAGTGAATAAAAAATGTATTTATGATGCAAGTAAATAAATTTACGTAAATAATTCACTATCCAAACAAACTGAGTCCTGTATTGCATAATATTTCATTCCAAAAACAATAATATTTATTTGTCGCCATTAAATTCAGGCCATAAAATGGTCCAAGTCTCATGGATGGATTTTTACAACTTTGACATTTAAGTGCAAGAAAATATCATCTTCTTTGGAAGTCAAAAGAAAAACTTTTCACATTTAAGTTGATCTCAAAACTTTTTATCTATGATTTAGCCACACTAAGTAACCACTATGAGTTTGCATTTGTGGAGTTGTGAGTCTTTATTTTTTTTTTCTTTTTCTGAAAATAATGAATTTATGTATTAACCAACTTGCATTTGTTCTTTTGCTTCGGGCTTAATTGCTATCTTTTGCCTTTTGATAAAATAGAATTTCCAGTTGGGCCAAGACGTTTTTATGGTTTTTATTTGATAAAGTAGCTTTTAAAAAACTTTTTATTTTTCCTTTTTGCTTTATGAGTGATTACAACTGAGCTTAAGAACTTGTGATGTCATTAGTGGTTTGATTACGAAGATCACTAGGGATGATGAGGTTAATGAGCGATAAATTAAGCAGCTGGATGTCTTAAGGGCTTAGATTTGTGAAAATACTGGGCACGCGGGAAGGTATTGGGCTCTGGCCCAACTTCCATGCACAGAACTTGGACTATGGACTGGTCTGGGAAGGCTTAATTGCAGATTAACCCCTATAATTAGGGAGTAAATGTTACATAAAAGAAAATTGATAATTTAAGGAAGCAAGGACTAGTTAAGTAAGAACGAATTGTATATCTTACTAAAGACCAAGATTGAATGTTAAATAATCAGCAATGTAAATGCCTATTTTGCCAAGGGCTACCGTCCTTAACCGAGGATACATATAATTATAATCACACACTGCCGGATTTACATAAGCCTCCAATGTGATCTTAATGGGAGCCTAACAGTTTAGTCCAAGTCTATGATCCTTACTCTTTGTATCATCCTCTGGCAGTCTGGCTAGTTTCAGTCAGCATGTATGAAAGGAATTCCATGATTTCTAATCGACATTTCTCCTGATGTTATTTCTAGCATGAATAATGACACAAGAGGTAAACATGTACTGTCCAATGAATCAAGACTTCATATATGCTGCTTAAGTTACAAAACCATCTAGTTTTTGTCCTTCCTGCAATAAGGGAAAAAAGGCATACTTGTTGTAGTTCAGTTAGTCCGCACTACAGCCCTGCATTAGCACTCTTTTAGTGTTGATTAAGATGTTCAAACGTGCGGCGGGCTAATATTTCTGATTTTTCCATTTGGATTTCAGATCAGGCTGGTAATGTTGGCTCTGGAAATGACTCTGACAAGAAAACTAGGATCATCATTGTGACAGCCATAGCAGCTGGTATTCTTCTTATGCTCTCAGTAATAGGTATAATTTTTGTTTGGAAGAGGAAATCGCAACATGTCCAAAAGAGCATTATAGATCATAGAGGTAACTAAAAAGTTACAGATTTTCTCCAAGCTTCAGTGGTATTATTAAATACTCAAGAGTTATTGCATAATACTTAACAATGCCTGCTTTCATTTTCTCCAGGTTCACGCGAAAGAAGTCAAGATCTTCTGTTGAAAGCAGCAGTTATTCCCAGTAAAAGGGATCATTCTGGTGAAAGCACCACTGAGGAACTTGAGCTTCCATTATTTGATTTTAGCACCATAACATTGGCTACAGACAACTTCTCTGAAAAGAATAAGCTAGGACAAGGTGGATTTGGTTGTGTTTATAAGGTATGTCTCAATTATGATTCGAGGAGTTGATATATTGAAGTACTTTCAACGTCAAAAGAAGAGCTTGCGACAATGTCTTAATGATGATATCAGGGTATGTTGGTTGAAGATCAAGAAGTAGCAGTGAAAAGGCTCTCCAAGAACTCGGGGCAAGGAATAGAAGAATTCAAAAACGAAGTTAGATTGATCGCTAGGCTTCAGCACAGAAATTTAGTTCGCCTTTTAGGTTGTTGCATCAACATGGAAGAGAAGATTCTCATTTACGAATATATGGAAAATAAGAGCCTGGATTCAATCTTGTTTAGTAAGCCTGCTGTTCTTGTAGTTTTGCCAATATGGTTTTTGTTATTGGAACGCACTTAGCAGAGTTACAATTTTCTTCAAAATCTCGACAACTAGTTTTGATGGATGTATGCCTAATTTGCTCAGATAAAGAGAGAAGCTCGTTGCTCCATTGGCAAAGGCGTTTCAACATCATTTGTGGGATTGCTCGGGGCCTTCTTTACCTACACCAAGACTCACGGTTCAGAATTATTCATAGAGACCTCAAAGCAAGCAATATTCTCCTTGACAAAGAAATGAACCCCAAAATTTCAGATTTTGGCATGGCAAGAATTTTTGGAGGAGATGAGACAGAAGCAAACACAAGAAGAGTAGTTGGAACATAGTAAGCAGCAAATGCAAATCCTTAGTAGCATTCGGCTTTACATTAATGCACTGCCACTTACAACTATATCCTGGATGCTTTTTTTTTTTTGCAGCGGTTACATGTCCCCAGAATACGCAATGGATGGCGTCTTCTCTATTAAATCTGACGTTTTCAGTTTTGGAGTTCTTGTCTTGGAGATAGTGAGTGGTAAGAAGAACAGAGGATTCTATCATATGAACAACCAACTCAATCTTCTTGCACATGTAAGTCTAGCTTATTCAAAATTTGTGTGTTAAATTTTTGCATTGAAAACAAAGAGTTACATATCCATACTTCTATAAACTTTTCTTTCCTAAGGAAAAGGGCATTGATGAAATTGTGGTCACTGACAAAAAGATTACATGAAATCGCACAGGCTTGGAAGCTGTGGAGGGAAGGCAGAGGATTAGAAGTAATGGATTCAGCAGCAGGTGAACTGTATTCCACTGTTGACGTAATGAGATGCATACATGCGGGTCTACTTTGCGTGCAGGAGCATGCAGAAGATAGACCGAACATGGGAACTGTGGTTCTGATGTTAAGCAGTGAAAGTGCATCACTGCCCCAGCCTAAACACCCCGGATTTTGCCTTGGAAGAAGGCCCCATGATACAACTTCATCTTCAAGTAGACAAGATGAATCTTGCACTGTAAACCAACTTACGGTAACTATCCTTGATGGCCGGTAGTTGAGGAATGCCCTCGAGCAAAAGCAGAATTGTATAGGTCATTGAATTCGACAAGAATTTTCTGTTCATACATGATTTTCTTTTTGCTTCTTTTAGTTGATACCTAGAGATTCATACATCTTTGTTGATTTAAGATACAAAAATCATGCACTTGATATAATTCTTTTCTTTTTTTTCCCCCTTCTTGCTGGAGTTCGCTGTAAATTTATCTGTTTTGTTGAGAATGGAAACATGGAAGTAATTTTGAATGAACTATCGAGCATGATCTCTATCTCTGCCTTTCCACTCACTATCCTTGTTGAAGTAACCAAACTGTCTGTTCTGACTTCTGATTACGTATCGCTCCAATGATTTATTACCGAGCAGAACTGTACCAGGCAGTTGGGAGTTGAGACACTATTGAAATGGATAACACAACATAAATCATTCTCAGACTAAAATCTCACAGAACACCACACGTAAGAGCCCGATTCAGTGCGAGGATCTGACATGAAATAAATGTGTTCAAGACTTTGACAATCGTTGGAGTCAACTACATAATACAGTAGCGAGGAAGCGTTGTCTTGATTCATTAAATTGAGTAAACGCCAATTGAATAAAGATGTTTGGTCGGCAGACACTAGTATACCGTGGGACGCCTTCTTTGAAAGGTTTCACCATCAGAATTGAAGCATATGGTCCGAAATTCAGAATCAATCCTTTGTTACCTTCACATGTATCTAACATGGAAGAATTAGGTAAATTGTGCTCAAAAGTCAAAACCTCGAAAACTTCGTAGCTCCACCGAAACCTCCAGAACAGAAAAGAAAGCTCCCAATGCTTGAACAACGGATTGCGAACCAACCCACCTGGTCATTACTACGTAAAAAGTGTAGCCTTGATCTTATTTTTTGTCATTTCAATTATGCCCTTATTAATTTCTGGTTAAAGTTTCATATAATCTTAATTGTAGATGGTTTAGAAGAAAATAATGGTTGATTACTAAGATCACCATATTGCATCATACCATATTGATTTGAGAAACATCTTCTTAAAGTTATAAACAGTGAAATGATTTAATGATTTGAGAAACATTTCTTGGATAAATTAAATAAGTTGTTCACATCCAATTCATAAGGGGAAGAATTTTTCATGTTTCACCCAATGGAATTTCAATATACAAAAAGGTATAACAACTTTATAACTGAAATAGCAATATTAAATTGGAAAAAAAATCTGAAATAGCACCATATAAACCATTATTATCATTTATAGCAATTCCTCAAAACAAGAAAAACTGAAAACTATTCGTAAAATGACATAAAGTGAATAGCAAAAGAATTAAAAAGATCAAAATATAATTCAAATAATGCCAAAGACAACATCCAAATAACTGACATTTAAGGGAAGATAAGCATTGTTATTTGCAGTAATATAGGAATGCTTCATTTTGTATTGGTTTGAACAAATAAGTCCATCTATCAAGCCATGCAGAAGCCATCTCCATTTATAAAATAAGAATTATAATAAGAGTAAATTTAAAATGAAGAACGATATCCAAATTATTTTTTTGTGATGCCCAAAGTACCCTTATTTTTCTAATGATTACATATATTTATTGTATTGCAATATTAGTGAATAATGGTAGCAGTTATGAAATGAAAAATTTTAAAATTAAGTAAATTTTATTTATGGTGACAATTGTAATTAGGCAGATTTAGTGTATTCCAATAATTGACAATAATGTAGATGTTATGGATTAAAGTTGGCAATTGAAAAAATAAAACACTACAATATACTAAAAATTAATATTAAAATTGTTAATTAGCCAGAATTCTCATTCCAATTCCATGATTATTAAAAACATTGATACCGAAACAAAAAAATATTGTGCTGATATGAAAAAAGTAGACTTGTTGCTTTTGCTTTGCATTGGATTTTGATTAAAAAAAATGATTAAAAGAAAAAAATGGAAAAAAACTCAACTATTTATGAAATTTTAATTGTCAGAATGTACAAGCCAAAAAAAGAACTTTACTTGGTGGATCATTTATATTCCATTATTGACAAAAATAGCAATAAAAAGAATACAAATAATTGAAATTACACGTATGTTTATTATTTTAGCTTAATTATATTCTTCATTTATAAAAAATGGTAACGATTGTAGTTTATATGTAATAAAATCATGAATATACAACAATTTTGGTAAAACATGATATTATCAATATTTGATATGTTAGAATTCAAGCCATAAATCAACAAATATTTGGTTCATGATTCCAAATTTAATCAATGCTTTTCGTCTCTTTCCATTTAATACAATTTCTAAAAGTTACTAGTCAAAGAAAATAAATAACATAAAAATATTATATTATGATGTTGATGATCAAAATTTCACAAAAATTTTTTAGTATCTAAAGAATAATATATTTTAAGATATTATAATCACGTGCAAATCATGTAAACTATTACTAGTCTCTGAAATGTGTTAAACTTAATGGTTTATACTTGATAACTAGTATTGATCATCCCCAACCAGCGATAAGTACTTGATATCCCATAATTATCTCTAATAACTTGATAGTGGCAAATGGTTGTCAGATCAGATTAGTTTTTTTTAAGAGGTTTTGAATTCAAAATCTTTTACTTATAATCCCTCCTACCTTACCATTTAACCCAACCCAACCCTCTCCTAATGATTATCAGATTGACCATTCTTATCAGGAATTAAAGTGATAAACTCCATACGGTTCATTTATCATCTATTTATTCCTATAAATGCCAAATATACATCACAAAAGACATATTCATTCTCATTACAACTATTAGTCACTGATTACTTAATTTAGAGAAAACTATTACTCATTGATTAATTAACTTTGAGGGCAGCCAACTTTGAGAATTCATCCATTCCAAAGCTATTACTCACTGATTACTTAACCCTGGTCCTCTACAATTCATACTTGCTTCTGCTGAACTACTTCCATCTTACCCAGTTCAGTTTGGCACCATTGATTTGTGTTTTTACAGTCTTCTCTCACGCAGGGAACAGGGTAAGGGTAAGGGTAAGAAAACGGTGACATCAAAAGGCCCACGAGACCAAGACAAGACGACCAATCAAATGCGGCCCAGCTGTCTGAAAAAATCTTCCGAGCAGTCCTAGTATGACCGTCAAGGCGTCAACCGAACATAGTACTATCATTTTGGTTTTAATTAAGCTTTTAAGTCAATTCAAAATATCAATTCCTAGTGGTGACATGGGACTTATCAAAATTATTGGGGTAAATTACATATAATTTCAATGTAGTTTGATCCATTGATACATAATTTTCTTAACATTTCAAAATATTTACTTTACCCCCTTATACTTTCATATAAAGTGGAAATTTTTTTTAAAAAAAAATCCCTTTTGCAACGTTTGGTTGAAGTACCAATATTGTTCTTAATTAACTACTAAATTGAACACCATCTTTACACTTACACAAACTATTATAGTGTTTGGTTTAGGTCAGGAATTGACACCAAAACCAACCATAGTCATACATTTTGTTCAAAAAAGAAATACTTTAAATCATTCTAAAGTGTAAAAACAAACTTCTTGTATTATTATTTTTTTCCCGTGAAATGAAAATTTTGTTCATGTGTCATCCATCCAACTATAATAGTGAATACTGTATATATAATTTACTCTTAAATGAATTAATCTATTCTCTTGGCAAAAACTAGCTCAGCCCTAAACAAAACTAAGTAGGATAAATGACTTGAATACAAACCTATAATGAAGTTTCTGATTCCCATTTTGATACATAATGCAAACAAAGCACTCCAAAAGATATTCGTCCCACGAGACCTTGTAAGTCAAAGATGGTGACCTATTATTGGAACTACTTCCTCTAGCACAGACCTTTCAAAATCAATTTTCAAAAACTCCTCTACCAGTTCATTGCATAATGGATTGTTTAAAGTATATTGAGAGGCCCCTTTAGCTTGCTAATTTGAAAGAATGGACTTTCCTCGGCTGTTTTCCCTTTCAGTTCTTCTCATATTGACATTTCTTGCTTCCTACTCCTCCATTGCAATAGACACCTTAACACCAAATCAGAACCTCACCGATGGCCAAATCTTGCTGTCCTCCAACCAGATTTTTCAGCTGGGATTCTTTACTCCAGGAAAGTATGGTAAAAGATATTTGGCCATATTGTATCATAACGTCCCTACCACGACAGTGGCTTGGGTAGCAAACAGAGATAATCCTCTCAGCGATTCATTAGCCCATCTAACGATGAGGTCTGATGGTGCTTTATTGCTTTACAACAGCTCCATGGCTGTTGTATGGTCTATGAATGAAACAATGACGGGCCAGAGTCCAATTCTGCAGCTTCTAGGTACAGGTAATCTTGTAGTCAGAAAACAGGATAATACTAATGCAAGCGATTACATTTGGCAGAGCTTTGATCATATGTCTGATACTATGTTGCCTGGAATGAAACTTGGATTGAAGTTGAAAACTCGTACCAGCAACTACATGAGATCCTGGAAAAGTCCTGATGACCCTTCTGATGGAGAGTTTACATTCAGCTTGGAAACGCCTGAAACACCTCAGCTTTTACTGCGTAGCGGATCAAACAAGGATTACAGGTGGGGGCCTTTTGATGGTGATAGGTTTAGTGGTGGTAACCGATTGAGGAACAACACAGTCTTCAAGCCTATATTTGTTTCTACTGCTGATGAAATTTATTATACTTTTGAAGCACTGGATAATTCTATTTTAATGCGGTCCGTTGTGACACCACTTGGTGGAATTCAGTATCTCACATGGCGAAATGGTAGTAAAGACTGGAGCCTGACTGTAGAGGTAAATAGGCTCTATTGTGATCGATATGGAATGTGTCGAGGAAATGGAAATTGCTATGCGGATGATCCTCCGTGCAGGTGTTTAGAAGGGTTTGCTCCGCGCTCGCCACAAGATTGGAGATTATATGATTATTCAGATGGTTGCAAGAGGAAATTTGATCTGAATTGTAGTAACAGAGATGGTTTTGTGAAGTATGATGGACTGAAGTTGCCAGATAACGTGGTTGTGTGGCCTAATCTTACCCCTGAAGAATGTGCAGCAGAGTGTCTGAGAAAATGTGATTGTATGGCCTACACCCGAATCAACCCTCTAGGTAATGGCAGCCAGTGTGTAGTTTGGTTCGGTGACTTAATTGACCTCAGAGATTTCCCTGATGGAGGCGAAGAACTGTATATACGCATGGCACGTGCTGAAATAGGTAAGCGCTTGCATTCTGCTGTCTGGAATGTCATATTAGAGTATGGTAATGTCTTGCTCGTATTAGTATTGACATCAGGAATGCACTAATATTTTGTAGAGGATGTAGAATTCTTGTGTTCGAGAAGTTTGTTTCAGTTTCTCTTCATGATGAACATCCCGTGCTTCGCACAGTAAAGATGAAATTAGTGACTAACTGGAGCAATTATATCATGCGACTGTCCATTTATATGCATCAACTTTGTTAGCTTAATTGGATTCTCTGAAATGAAAACTCTAGCATAAAGGGAGTGCATTCAACTCAATGATTTTTTGAAGAGAAATCTTTGTAAAATCGATCTAATGAACGAGTATCAACCGTACTTCCTCACTACAAAGAAGCACAACTAGTCTATAGACCTTCGAGGTTGTTGATCTTCACTTCAAATTCTGTCATCTGATGTGGATCTTTAAACAAGCTGCATGAGAGGCTTCCTACCTAATTAATGTTGCTTAGTTAGCTTATATTAGTTACTTTGATAATATGCTGCAACCACTAAATGAAAACTTTATCGTCCCTTCCCTCCAGGAGGGTATAATGGCTGTATGTCCAATCCTTGTGAAGGGCCATTCTACCACATATCATGATCAACTTGTTTGTATTGCTCTGGTTCTTCTGAAGAGTGGACTGCAAAGATAGAATGAAACTCTTATGTTTCTTCTAGTTCTTGTTTCTTTTGCTACAAAGACAAAAAAATCTCCGCATACATCTAGCCACCACAGAGATCAAACTTCTTCCCAACTCTGCTAAACGACTTTTGTATAATGTGCCTAATTATACATGTAGCAGACAGTTCGATTGTCATATTTACTCAGCTGTATTTTTAACTACCAGATTCAATTGCTAAAAACAAATGGAGAAAGCATGTCAGATTAGTTATTGCCATCACGATGTTATCAGCCTTTGCGCTGCTTCTCTTGGCTATCTTGGCTTGGTACAAGCTGAGACCAAAGGGGAGAAGAGAGGAGGATACCATATCAATGCCAATAGGTATTTCAAAATTTCCTTTTCCTATTAATTTCAGAGGTTTGTCACATGGTTTAGCACTTGGAACTGTGACTAGATTCAAGTTATAGTGCTTTCATCGAAAGGATTTGGATGCTGAGAAAGCTAATATAGGTATTATACTAGATTCCTCCATTTAACTCCAAGTACCATTGCAGCCCATGAGAGCAAGTCATTCCCCCATTATGAGGAAGAAAGTCAAGAGGAGGACCTTGAATTACCTACATTTGATCTAGCAACGATTTCTGCTGCTACAGATCAGTTTGCCTTACGTAATAAGATTGGACAGGGTGGTTTTGGTCCTGTGTATAAGGTATGGCTTATTTTTCCTTCCATTCAGTTAGTAATTAGAAGACAAATGCAGAAAAGAAAAATCAACCGCTAAGCATGATATTAATTGGTTTTTACTGTACTTGTACACAGGGCGAATTACCTAATCGATTAGAAGTAGCAGTAAAGAGGCTTTCACAGAATTCAGGTCAAGGCCTAAGAGAGTTTAAGAATGAAGTTATACTGATTGCAAAGCTTCAACATCGTAACCTTGTTAGGCTACTCGGATGCTGCATTCAAGGCGATGAAAAAATGTTGGTCTACGAGTACCTGGCAAACAAAAGCTTGGACAACTTTATATTTGGTACCCCATCAGATCTCATTACATGTTGCCCTCATGATTCTACCCTTTCAGTTATTAAGCTAAATTAACTAACCTGCGTACTGATTTCCATAAAACTTTCAGATCGGATAAAAAGAAAGCTACTTCCATGGAGTATACGCTTCAACATCGTTTTGGGCATTGCAAGAGGGCTGCTTTATCTTCACCAAGATTCCAGATTGAGAATTATCCACAGAGATCTGAAAACTAGTAATATTTTACTTGATAGAGAGATGAACCCAAAAATCTCAGACTTTGGCATTGCAAGAATTTTTGGTGGAGAAATAACTGAAGAAAAGACTCGGAGAATTATTGGTACATAGTAAGTAATACTAACACACAAGAAAAAATGAACCTCATATTTCTTTGTCTGCCTTTTTGGTGTGATTCAGTTTGGTCATCAACGTTTACAAATGCTGGATTTGGATGCAGTGGTTACATGTCCCCCGAATATGCAATGAGTGGTCATTTTTCTGTAAAATCAGATGTATTCAGCTTTGGAGTCATAGTGCTGGAGATTATAAGTGGCAGGAAGAATTGGGGATTTTATGATCCAGACCATGACCATAACCTGATAGGACATGTAAGTGCATGGAAAAGAATTATATACTTCAAATTCATCCTATCGAACTAATTGTATTTACTCATTCTTACCCATTGAACTCAATCTGTTTCAGACCTGGAAACTCTGGAATGAAAAAAGATCTATTGAACTAGTTGATGACATATTGGACGGATCATTTTCGAAGGATGAAGTCTTAAGATGCATCCAAGTGGCCCTTCTATGCGTCCAGCAACGAACTGAAGAAAGACCAACAATGAGTACTGTGGTATTTATGCTAAGTAATGAAAATGTGGAGTTGCCACAACCCAAAGAACCCGGTTTTGTTTCAGAGAGATCTGCCATGCAGATTGATTCTTCATCTAGCGGTCAAGATTTTCACACAGGAAAGCATATAACTTTCACAACTGCAGAGGGACGATAACACTTCAAAAACAAAAAAATTCTCCAGTTTTGTACAGATCTGGATACATGATCACAAATGAGGCACCTCTCCAGCATCTTAGTTTCTAGTGTACCATACCTCATCCCATTTATTAAAGTGACTTGTATTGTACTGGGGAAGTGAAAGTTGGAAGTTATTCCTTAATTCTTTGATATTCTCCCCCCACGCCAATCCCCCCAACCCACAAAAAAAAAAAACCCAAAATCCCCAACAAAAAATAACTCTTTAAAATCAAAATGTGTTTATACTAGTATTTCTTCTGGTTAATTTTCATATTTGAAGTCTCTTCTTATTATCTATGACTGTAAAGATCAATAATCAACCGATCAAGAAAATGAAAGACTGAAAGAAAACCTGTTGGCCAGATCCGACTTTTCTCTTCTTCATGTTTTTGGTGCAGTTTTTCAGTATTTTCTACTCATAAAGACTGAAACCTTATCTCCCAGTGACATCATGAACAGGTCTATGGTCAAACAGTCGGTCCTCGATTTCTAGAAGCATAAAGCGTTCGGTTGCAAAATCTGACATGGTTAATCAGTCAGAAATCTTAACTAGACAGATAATCTGTCTGAGGAAATGGTGATAAGAAGGCCTAGTCAACTATGGTCAATTTGACGGTGCCCTGTAATGAAAGTTAAGCTACAAATCTATTGCCAAGGATCTACACAGGACTCAGAAGTCAAAACCAAGTATTTGGAACAAGTCAAACTATAATAATAGCATGTGAGGCCTTAGAAGTCAAGCATGGAAACTCTTATTGCACCTAAATTTCTCTGGCTGGCTCTTACTTTTGATCACATTAATTTCACATATGAAATTTTGTTAATGCAAATAGAAAGTCCCTTTACGTTGCCAATTCGAAAGAATGGGCTTTTCTCTGATATTTTCGGTCCTTGCCATTTTCACACTTCTGGCCTCCTACAGATCCATTGCAGCAGACATCTTAGCACCTAACCAGAACCTTACAGATGGCCAAACCTTGGTTTCCTCCAACCAGATTTTTGCACTGGGATTCTTCAGTCCAGGCAATTCAGGTAGAAAGTATTTGGGCATATGGTACCACAACCAACCCCTACCCCTAACAGTGGTTTGGGTGGCCAATAGAGACAATCCGATCAACGACTCATCTGGCGGTCTAATCATGAGTATAAATGGTTCTCTATTTCTTTATAACAAGTTCGTTTGGTTTACAATTACGAATGGAACAATGGCAGGCCAGAGTCCATTGCTGCAACTCCTAGATACAGGTAACCTTGTAGTGAGAAAACAGGATGAAGCAGATGGAAAAGATTATATATGGCAAAGCTTCGATCATATGTCTGGTACGATGTTGCCTGGAATGAAGCTTGGATGGAATCTAAAAACTGGAACCAGCAATATCATGAGATCTTGGAAAAATTTTGATGACCCTTCAGATGGTGAGTTTACATTTAGCTTGGATCCTCCTGAAACTCCTCAGCTGATTCTCCGGCAGGGAGAGACTAAGAAGTACAGGTGGGGTCCTTTTGATGGTGATAGGTTCAGCGGTAGCAATGAACTGAGGAATAATACAGTGTTCAAGCCCATCTTTGTTTCCACATCTGATGAAGTTTATTATGCTTATGAAACGCTAGATGATTCTACTTTAGTTCGGTCCGTTGTGACACCACTGGGTTCAATTCAGTATCTCACATGGCGAAATACTAGTCGAGACTGGAACATGATTGTGGAGCTTAACAGAATCTACTGTGATAAATATGGCATGTGTGGACAGTATGGAAGTTGCTATACCAATGATCCAAATTGCCGGTGTTTAAACGGTTTTGTTCCAAACTCACTACAAGATTGGAGATTGTTTAATTCATTAGGTGGTTGTAAGAGGAGGTACAATCTCAATTGTAGCAATGGGGATGGTTTTGTGAAGTATAATGCACTTAAGTTGCCAGATAATGCAGTTCTGTGGGCAAATTTTGGGCTCGAGGAATGTAGAGCAGAGTGTCTGAAGAAATGTGATTGTATGGCCTATACAAGAATCAATGTTCTTGGCAATGGCAGCCAATGTGTGGTTTGGCTCCATGATTTGATTGACATGAGAGATTCTGCTAGTGATGGAGAGGAACTCTTCATACGAATGGCACGCGCCGAATTAGGTATGCACTTATTTTCTGTTGCGTCATTCTCTACCCTTGCACCACTTCTGAAATTAGGAATGCACTTCCATCTTGCTGAAGATGTGGAACTTTTGCCTTGCTAAATTGTGCTTTAGTTTTTGTACATTAGCCTTATATGCTGCTTCACTAAGGAACCTAAAATTGGTAAACAATAGCAACAAAATTGCATTGTACCTATCTTATTTATGTTAATCAATCAAATTTGTTTGGTTAATACGATGCAGCATAGCAAAACCTAGGGACAAGAGGAGGAAAGTTCAACTTATAGGACAAATTCTTGTGAAAATTGAAGCTATGACAAGTTGGTAACTGTAGTAGCTCTACTTGTTGATTGCAAAGAAGAACAATGAGGATGACTCTAGCATTTCTAGGTTGTTGATCATTACCGTTCTATGTCATGTGAGGTGAATAATCTAGAAGTTTTCTGAGATGTTTCACGATGAATTAGGTCTACTTCTGAAGTTATCTTGATTGAATGGCTTGGGAATCAGTTTGAAACAATACCTAAAACTTTCTTCTGCCTTAAATCTTATAATGCAGTTATTCTCCAATGAACTGCAATGGACATTCCTTTCATCTATGAGAAATTGGAAACCATGTTTAAATTGAAGGTCCAGTTAGGAATCCTTCACAATTTTTTGTTTCTTCTAGTTCACATTTAATTGTTTAGAGGGATTACTGGGTAAACTTAAGCATCAGTGCCAGTAAACACCTTGGCAACTCTGCTAGCGAGATTACAGGGTTTTTTTGGGTAGGTAAGAAGCTTATTGATACCCAGAGGAGATACAAAACTACAAGTGGCATATCCCAGGGTGGTTGTTGCAATAACTGCATACTGAGCTTTTACTCAAAATTTTGATTCTCATCTTAGACATAATGTAACTGCCAGATTCAATTGCTGAAAACAAAAGGAGAAAGCGTATTAGAGTAGCTATTGGAATCTCCATATCAACAGCTTTTCTTCTGGTTCTCTTGGCTATGGCCTGGCAAATGATGAAAAGAGTTAAGAGAAGAGCAGAAGAGGATACGGTTTCTATGCCAATAGGTATCTCATACTTACCCTACAGTACCTATTTCTCAGCTAAGGTTTTGTGACTACCACTATTTGGCTTTTTTGTCAAGAGAGTTAGCACTTAATGGATTTTAGCCACTAGAATTAAATTCAGAATTTTTTTAATGATTCCACTGAAAGTATCTCTTTATTTGAAAACTAGGAAAACCTTATCACACTAACCTTGCTTCATCTATTACATATCTATGTTCAGCCCATGACAACAATTCTTACAACCATTATGAAGAAGAAAGTCAAGACGAAGATCTCGAATTGCCTATATTCGGTCTTGCAACCATTGTTGATGCTACGGACCAATTTGCTTTTGGCAATAAGATTGGACAAGGTGGTTTTGGTCCAGTCTATAAGGTATTCAACTTTTCTATGGATGATTAGTTTTTAGCTTACAAAGGGAAATCAGATCCTTCAGAGGTAATATGTTGTTTTTTCTTGTGTTGGTGCCACAGGGTAAACTACCTAACGGATCAGAAATAGCAGTAAAAAGGCTTTCACAGGATTCGGGGCAAGGCCTAAGAGAGTTTAAGAATGAAGTCAAACTGATTGCAAATCTTCAGCATCGTAATCTTGTTAAGCTACTTGGATGCTGCATTCAAGGAGAAGAAAAAATGTTAGTGTACGAGTACCTGCCAAACAAAAGCTTGGACAACTTTATATTCGGTACCAGCACTAACCCTCAATACCTGTAGCTCCATTAGTTATCTCTCTTTCACGGCAAACTAAATTGGCTTACCTACAAATTTAATTGCATATGCAATTATAGACCGAGTGAAAAGAAAGCTACTGCCATGGAATACACGCTTCGATATTGTTTTGGGGATTGCAAGAGGGCTGCTTTATCTTCACCAGGATTCCAGATTGAGAATTATCCACAGAGATCTAAAAACAAGTAACATTTTGCTTGATATCAAGATGAACCCCAAAATTTCAGACTTTGGCATTGCAAGAATTTTTGGAGGAGAGCAAACAGAAGAAAAGACTAGGAGAGTAATCGGAACATAGTAAGTAATTGTCATACCTGAGGAAAAAGATTTAGGAATGGCAATTCTTTTTCTTTACCTTTCTCTTCGATTGATACAATTTTTTCACTGATGTTGCTGAACACTGTACTCTGATGCAGTGGTTACATGTCTCCTGAGTATGCAATGAGTGGTCATTTTTCCATAAAATCAGACGTATTCAGCTTTGGTGTTATAGTGTTGGAGCTAATAAGTGGCAGAAAGAATTGGGGATTCTATGATCCAGGACATGACTATAACCTGATAGGACATGTAAGTGCACAAAGAAAATTGATACTCACTTCAGCTGAAAATTTGCGTATTAGTAGAACAAATTTATTTGTAATTAATGATTGTTTCATTGAACTGAATTTGTTTCAGACATGGAAACTTTGGAATGAAGACAGGTGTCTTGAACTGGTTGATGAGATGCTGGATGGATCATTTTCAATAAAAGAAGTCATAAGGTGTATCCAAGTGGCGCTTTTGTGTGTGCAGCAACGAGCTGAAGACAGACCAGCTATGAGTACTGTGGTTTTCATGCTAAGTAACGAAAATGTGGAGTTGCCACAACCCAAAGAACCTGGTTTTATTACAGAAAATTCCCCCTTCAAAATTGACCCATCATGGAGTGGTCAAGATTCAAATACAGGCAATGAACTAACTATCACAGCAGTGGAAGGAAGATAAGATTGAGAAATTCAAAGAGTCTTCCAATTTTGTACAGTTATTAGCTTTGGTTACATGGTCACAACTTACAAGTCAATCACCTCTCACTCGGGGTAAGTAATCAATATGCGAAATGAGCGCAGAAAGTTTTCTCTGGAGAAGCATATTATGTGGGAGGAAACGAAGAAGAAGAAATGTCTACTTTCAAATGGTGCAAACCAAATGCATGTTGCATCCGTACGTTCTTTCTTTTGGTTTCCGAAGATGGAATGATGGAACTAAGCAAAGTCAAGCTTCCACATTTTCTACAGAGGAAGATGCACCATACTGAAGAAAGCAAATGTAAAAGATCTAGTAGAAATTATAACAGTAAACTGT